ATGTTCATTGCAGCATAATTCACAATAGCAAAGACTTAGAAGCAACATAGATGCCCATCAAGGGACAAATTAATAAAGAAGATATGGTATATATACACAATGGAATACTACTCAGTCATAAAAAAATGATGAAATCTGGCCATTTGTGACCACATGGATGGACCTTGAGGGTATTGTGCTAAGCAAAATAAGTCAGACGGAGAAAGTCAAATACCATATGATCTCACTCACAAATAGAAAGTGAAAACAACAAACAATCACATAAAGACAGAGATTGGATTGGTAGTTACCAGAGGAGAAGGGGGGAGGGAGAAAGGCAAAAGGTGCAATTAGGCACATTGTGTGGTGATGGATTGTAATTTGTCTGTGGGTGGTGAACATGATGTAATCTACACAGAAATAGAAATATAATGATGTCACCTGAAACTTGTATAATATTATAAACCAATGTTACCTCAATGAAACAAAGAATGCAATAAGAACAATTGCATTTACAATAGGACCACTGACACTGAAAAATGCTTGCTATTTATGTGTTTATTAATGATCAACTTAGCTATATAAAATAGGATTGTCCTTTGACACAGCCTCATAGGCAAATTACAGTATATAACCAGTGCATTTTTATCTTCAGCAAAGACTGAAAAGCTAAATGTTCATGAAAAATAAATCAGTTAAAAAATTGAATCACATTTATAAAGTCTATGAGATGTGAAACCAATGTATTTAGCCTACTCAGATTTTCTGGAGACAAAATAATCACTTTTCATGAATAAGAACATTATCCAAAGTATTATTTCTGTATTTTGGGAGGGCATACGACAACATACAGTAAAACAAAAACAAAACGGTTAATCTATTTTATGTGAATTTCTGCTCAATTTTAAGAAATTATGCACAAAACAGGAGAGATCCTTGAAATAATAACCCTTGTGTACATTATTAGCTTCCAGGAGGATTATCCAAATGTTCAGTTCCTGAAGTTTTAGAATTTCTCCTCAGGAGGATTTGAAGATAACAATGCTATTTAACATTTTTGAGACTTTACTGTGTATCAAGCATTATGTTAAAAGTTTTATATACATTATCTCCTTTAAACTTAATTATAGCCATCACTACCATCAATTTAAAAAAGAAAAACTGAGATATGGAGAGGTTAAGTTGCTCAAAGTCTCACAGACAGGAGGCAAATGGACCTCAGATGAGCATTTAGCTATTAACTATGCTTTAGTTTAGCAACAGAATTAGAGAAACATTTATTCAAACAGAGTTTACCGAGTGCCTGTTAAATTTTGTGTTTTTCAATGTGGTACAGGTAACATTGGTACAAAAGTTTTTTTGAATCATATATGGATAAACATCTTTAATAGGTATGTGCCTTAAACTGTACTAAAATAAATATAAGTTAGACATCAAAACTATAATGTCACAGTATTACTTAGGATAAGGCTAAAGTAAACAAGTTTAAAAAATAAAGTTGATTTAAGAAAAATATTAAAAATAATAATAGCTGACATTGAGCATTTACTATTTGCTAGACAGTTCTAAGGGCTTAAACAAGTTAACACATATACACAATTATTTAATCAATTACTAATACAGTACTTGCATGTCAAAAATTATGAAGGCGCTATTCCTATGACTGAAGTGTGGAAAACACTGGTATAATTGAAAGAAGTAACTTTTGAATCAGACAGACCTGAATTTAATTCTGGGCTCTATCATTTAATAATTGTGATATAGACCAGGAAACTAAGTATTGTTGACTGTTATAACTTGCATATCCAGAGACATCAGATTATCAAAATAGCCAGACCTATTTTAACTATAACTAAATTTCTAGAAATAAAAAATATAATTATCAAAATTAAGAATTCAATGTATAGGCTAAACAGCAGATTTAAAGAAACTGAAGAAAAAAATTAGTAAAATGGAAGATAGCTCAAAGAATTTATCCAAAAGTAGCAGAGAGAGAGAGAGACCTCTGGTAAGTATGAGATAAGAAAAAGAGAAGCTGTAATAAGAAGGTCTAACATACAACTAATATGCATTCCAGCTGCAGAAAATTAAAAGAATTAAAGAGAAGCAATATTTGAAGATATAATGGCTGGAAATTTTCCAGAACCAAAGTCATGAATCCACAGACATAGGAAGCACAAAATGTATTAAACAAGCTAAGCAGAAAGAAATCCTCCCCTGGACACTTTGTAGTGAAACCTCAGCCCCAAAGTCAAAGAGAAAATCTTAAAAGAAGCCAGAGAGACAAGACAGACTGACAGGAGCGCAAAAAGCTGAATCTAAAATGTATATAGAGGAGCAAAGACACAAGAATAGCTAAGATGCTCCTGAAGGAGACAAATAAGACTGAATAGGACCATAAGAAACATAAATGGTCAGAAAACCTATAAAAAGATGCTCAAACACAGTCGTAATCAAGAAAATGTAAATTAAAAGAACCAATTAGATATAATTTTATTCCCACTAGATTGGCACAATTAAAAGATCTGAAAATACCAAGTGTTGGTGAAAGCATAAATTGGTACAATCATTTTAGAAAACAATGCATTACTCATAAAGTTTAATATACACATGCCCTCTAATCTAGCAACTCCACTCCTAAATATAAGCCCTCAAGAAATTCTTAACATGTGAACCAGGAGACATGTACAAGAATAATCATATCATCGTTTGCAACAGCAAACAGCTGGAGACAGCTCAAACGTCCATTATTAGGAAAACAGGCACATAAACCATGACATATTCACAGAATGTTATATTATATATGAATAAAAAGAAATGAACTAATGCTGTATGAATGACACAACTTGAAGGAACTTTAGAAACATAACCTTGAATTAGTGAAGCAAGTTGCAGAAATCCAAAGCAGTCTGACACTATTTTTATAAAACTCGGAAATAAGCAATGCTAAGTATATAGATAGATATAAAACTGTATTTTTTGTAAAGTCAGAGAATGATTGACACAAATTTCAGAATACTGATTAACTCAGGGAACATGGGATAGGGGAGTACCACACAGTAGATTCAACATTCTAGGTCTTAATCTGGGTCGTGGATTCAGGACTGTGTGTCTTATTATTAAGCTTCATAACTTAAATATATACATTACATATCTATTGAGCATCTATCATATGTCTGAAAACATGGCTTTTAAAAAGTACATATTTTGTAATATATGATATGTGCAAAAGAATAGATGTAACTATTATTAGTTAATGGCAGGTTCATCCTGAGTGTTTTGAGTATGATTGCCCAGTCTTATATTCGGGTTCATATATTTTATATTTCATATTGAGGACAAAGTAAGAGTTCATTTTGGCTCTGAAATTTTAAATGACATTTTGATACTATCTGTAGCTCAAGAGAAATTCCATAAATTATACTGACTCAGAAAATGGATTTCCTTTTTCAGGTGAATTGAATATGATGACGTTATCTTTTTCCTCAGCAAAAAATTAATTTCTAGCTAAAAAGGAATAGAAGAACACTACATACTCTTCAGATTAAGCCTGAGATCTCAAATGCAGTCTCAGTTAAGCTCTGCATTCATCCTTTGCAGTTTCCAAAATTCCCTTTAGATAACTAATGTTAAAAATTGAAAGCATTTCTTTCATATTTCCTTAACTTCTTTCATTTTCATAAATTTTAATGGTTTCCTTAATTATAAAATCAATATTCACTTTAAAACTCCAGAGACATATAAAGTAAAAACTTTTCATAATAAACAACACAAAGTAAAAATTTTACCACGCAAAGATAACCACTTTTTTGTTGTATGGCTTTTTTTCTCTTTTGAGGTACATGTATTTTAAATAATTAATATCAAATAGTTTTGTATTTTGTTTTTGAAAGTGTTTTAATACAATTTAGGACCTGCAGTTTCATTAGGAAATACATTATTTTATTAATACGAAGTAGTCTTCAACAGCAAAATGCCAAATAAAAGTAAATAAATTAAAAGACAAAATCAAAACCTACCATATCCAAGCAAAACACAAATGGAAGCTTCTGGCAGAAAGTATTAATCTGATCTCTAAAAAGTCAAAAATTATACTGTTTGAAGTAAATGTTACTACTCATCAAGATACATCACTTGAGTGTCTTAGTTCCTGAACTACACAGCAATATCCTCTCCTGAAATTTTCCACCTGTGGTTTCACCTCAGGTGGTTCTGGTACGGGAGGGTCCTCGGGGCCAGCATTTGAGCGCCTCAAATTTGGACACAGTGGGACAAAGACCTGGAATCTCAGGGCCTGAAAGTGGTTCTTGGTAGCCTGTGCACCTAGGAAGGCAACATGGACCGGGTGATTGCTTAAATTGCTCGGGGCAGTCCACGCGTACACAGCTGAAGTCTTCTTTAGCTACCACATCACACTGACAGAGAAAATACGAGCCTGGTTAGGTAGGAAGGTCAGAACAGTCTTATTCTAGGAGGGCAGCAGTGCTCACAGCCAGAGCCTGTAAACGGCGGGTGAATTGCACCAGATGGTATGTGTCCCTTCCATTAATATAAAAATACAGGGCATTAATCTAGACATGGTCCTTTCCCATCTACGGACCCTGCCCACCATCTTCAAGACCTGACTTTTAGGAAGCATTTTCCCACTGTTCTACCGCGTAAGTTTGTACACTGTCTGAGCCGTCTTTTGTCCTCAGGAAACAAAAAAATAGCACGGGCTTCACACAGTCGGGAGGATTCAATGAGATTCTATCAGGTGCCTAGCACATAGGAGGCACTCCATAAAGGAGAGCTGCCTCTTGTCCTGTCAGGCTGGAAGCCCCCTGGATAGTCTATTCTAGAGGAACGGAGAGCTTCATAAGAATTGCTTCTTCGTAGCTGTGAGGCCGTGGGCATGTGAAGAGCCAGGAATACGAAACACAAAAAACATTACGACTACATGGCACCTCGGGAACGAGGAGGAAAGCCTCAGCCTAACAACGACACGCAGCAGTAAAGTCGGCAGCTTTCCCTTTAAGTAGGGCGGGCCGCCCCGCGGACGGAGCCCTCCGGAAGTCGCTGCGCGCCGCCACGAGATCAGATTCCTCCGCCGAGCGCGGCGCCGGGTCCCCCGGCTTCGCCCCTGTCTGCACCAGACTTGCTCCTCTCCCCGCCGCCCGACGGCAACAGGTCTTCCGGCTGCCGCTTCTCCGGCCGATACTGCCGGTGACCTGCCCGCCGGCGCTCGGGCCTAGGCCTGGCCTGGTCTGCGGAGGCCGCCGCACGCCGCCGGCGGAACCTGGCCCCGAGCCCGCCACGCACTTCCGGCGACGCCAGGCGGGGACTGAGGCGGGCGGGGCGCGGCGCGGCGGCCCTGATGGACGCGCTGGCGGTCCTGATGCAGGCTTCCTGACCCAGAACGATGTCCTGCGCAGGGAGAACACCAGCTCATGGGCCAGGTGCGTCGCCTGCTGTGCGAGAAAGCCAACCTGCTGGCCCAGGTGCAGCCGCCGGCCTGCCCGGGGGCCCTTCCCGAAACATTTAAACGCGACTCCGCCCGGCTGCCCGTTTTCTTGATGCAGGCGGCTTCTTACATGAGGCTCTTCGAAGCCAGATTCTCCAGCGACACCCTGAAGGTGGCATTTCTAATCAGTCGCCTCGCTGGGCCTGCAGAGGAGTGGGTAGTCCCCTACATCAGAGGGAGAGCCCTATCCTAGCTCAATACGAGGGCTTCGTGGACGCGCTGAAGCGGGCCTTTTGTAGAAAACAACGGGGCCGGGACCCCTTGTGTTGGGAGGGACGGCCTCCAGCCCCTGCGCTCCCCACAAGCCCCGTCCTGCTTGGCTTTGGTTCACAAAGAGCTGTCCAGTTCCCAGCGGCTGCGCCCTGAGCCTGGCTAGGAAGCTTGGCGCCGCCTGTTCTTGCCAGCCCCTCGCCTTTGCCCAGCCCCTGGCCGGGGACCTCTTGGAGATTGAGTGGACCACCCAGAGTCACGCCTTTGCCACCTGCCGACAGTTTATATACCTGAGGACCATAGTAAAAACATCGAATTATATTTTTGCGGGATGTGATTAAAGACAGGTTATTTTATCATTGCCTGTTAGCATTACAAGTGTGTGTAAGGAAACTGGGCCCCTCATATACCATACTTTGGCAGCAGATACTACTAACAAAATAAATTGAACCTTGGTCCTATTGGCTAATAATTTCAAAGCAGTGTTTTACCCGCAGTAAATAAAAGTCTACAGGTGGGGCCAGCTGATGGTGCAGCAGTTAAGTTCACACGTTCTGCTTCGGCGGCCCTGGGTTTGCCAGTTCAGATCCCGGGTGGGCACATGGCACCACTTGGCAAGCCATGCTGTGATAGGTGTCCCACGTATAAAGTGGAGAAAGATGGGCATGGATGTTAGCTCAGGACCAGTCTTCCTCAGCAAAAAGAGGAGGATTGGCAGCAAATGTTAGCTCAGGGCTAATCTTCCTAAAAAAAAAAAAAAAAAAAAAAAAGTCTACAAGATAAAGCGCCAAAAACTTTTTTCAGTAAACCTCACAGGAGCACAGATTTGATAAGATACAAAACCTTTCTAATGAAAGATTAACATCAACGTTTAATAATTAGAGCATGAAAAAAATGTCACTCAGAAGTCAGACTATCTCATACTTGATTTTCTATAGCTGTCTCTCTTTTTTTGCATAACTTAGCTCTCCACCAAAAGAAAAAAACAAGAGAAGAATGTACACAAGGCTTGCTTATGTTACATGGAGACACAGGAGGAGGGAGAGAAAGTCGCTGGTCAGTGACTTCCACTGGCCAGATCCAATAGCAAAAGATCACATTTCCATACACTGTGTCTTGGAAAGCAAATGATGAGAATGTAGGATTAGGGAAAATGGTAGGAAAAATCCAGAGTGTTCTAATTTTCTGGCTCCGTCTTGCCAAGCTTGAAAGAGACAAACTGAGGCTAAAGTAAGCAAGTCTGCTGGTAGAGTTGGAAGGAAATACAGCTGTGCTGTGCTAAGGAAGTATTCTCTGCTTTGGCTTGGAGTCTAAAAGTCCTGAATTTGGAGGCTTGAAAGAGTTAAAAATACAAGCGCTGCTGTACCCCACACAGGAGCAGTTATCAGTAGTGATTGCAAGGAGATAGTCTGATGAGATGAACTATGGCCTAGTATTAGTTATCTATTGGCCAAAATAATGCTGCTGTGGATGTACATTTTAAAATACCCTACAATTCAGTGGCTTAAAACATTAGGCATCTATTTAGCTCATGAACCTGTAGGTAAAGTGAGTGCTTCCTTTGGTCTTGGCTGGGCTTGCTTGTATCCACAGTCAGCTGCAAGTCTAGCTCCTGGATCTTGGCTGGGCTCTCACATGTCTGGGGTCAGCTGCTCTGCTAGTCTATGATGACCTTGGCTGAGACAAATGGACTACTCAGTCCCCTCCACTGTCTCGTCCTCCAGCAGGCTAGACCAGAAATGTTCCTATGTTTAAGGCAGAGGATCAAAATAGCAAAAGTAATGTGCAACCACTTTCTCAGCCTCCATTTGTGTCATGTTTATTAATGCCCGCTGGGCAAAGGAAATCTTAGGGCCTAAGGTTAAGTAAGGTGTGGGGTAGAATCAGTGGTGTGCTGAAGCCAGCTCTTACCAGCTCAGCTCAGAAAAGTCTATTGTTAAATTTTCAGGAATTTGGCAATCTGGTTGTTAAACACAGCCATTATTTAAAATTAAATCCTTATAATTAAATTATATTTAAAAAGATGATAAATACTCAAAACTCATGACTTCCTCATTACTACATTTTACTACTGTTGCTGCTCCTAAGGTTATTTGCATCTATTGTTTCTGGTGAAAATATATCCTGTTTCAGTTGTGTCACACCAGTAGCTTGACATTAACTATTGTAGGAGTGTTTATACCATGGAAATTGACAAACACCTCAAATCAGAGGTTGAGTTATTGTTTTGTTGATTGCCTAGCTTAAGAAAATGGTAGAGAAAACAGTAATGTAGATTAAATTTTAAAGTGTTGGGTCTGTAGCCATTACATTGTGAGTAGCAAAAAAAATTGAGGAAATATTATTCTAGTATTTGAAAACTATTATCCAGGTCTGGAAAGATGTCACCTCACTGACAAACAATTGAAGTGCCAACTTAACCTCTTCATTGTTTCACTTTCCTCTTACTATTTAATAACCAAAATATCAAACAATACTCATGTTGGAATTAAACTTATTCATCAGTTACAACCATAGGTTGGCTACAGATAAGACAGTTAAGTAAAAGTCAAAGAAAGCTTTCTGTCAGAATCAGCTGGCTAGGGGCCAGCCCCATGGCCTAGTGCTTAAGTTCATGCACTCCAGTTTGGAGGCCCAGGGCTTCACGGGTTCAGATCTTGGGCACGGACCTAGTACCACTCATCTAAGCTGTGCTGAGGAGGCGTCCCACATAGCAGAACCAGAAGACCTACAACTAGAATATACAACTGTGTACTGGGTGGCTTTGGGGAGAAAAAGAAAAAAAAAAAGATTGGCAACAGATTGGGATGGTAGCACCCAGGTCTGTGAGGATGAAGGCACCACCTTACCAGCCTTGGACTGCCTGCTTCCAGATGTCTTTTATGCCTTGTAGAAATAAACATCTACTGTCATTTAAGCTTTTGTAGTTTCCTGTTACTACAGCCCAAACCAATCCTAAATGATAGCAGAAATAGATCAGAAAATGTGTGTGTATTTGGCAGGGAGGGAGGTGACATTTGGAATGAGAAGGGGGTTGAATTGGGGAGGAAGGGCAGAATCCAGAAAGAGAGTTTTTAACTATGCCCGCAAGTTCTTTCATTCTCTTCTCTTCAAAAGGTGAAGTTTAATGCTTCCCCTATTTGTGGGCCAGACTTAGCGATTTGCTTCTAATGAACAAATGTGTCTGAAGTGACAGTGCATGCATTGTAAGTCTTATTATAAAAGGTATTGTGGCTTCCACATTGATATCTCTTGGATTCTTAGCTCTGGGCAAAGTCAGATATAATATTGAGAGGACACTCAAGCAGCCCTAAGAAGAGGTCCGTGTGATGAAGAACTGAGGCCTCCAACAGCCAACATAAACTTGCCATGTGAGGAAGCCATCTTGGAACCAGATCCTTGAGCCCCAGTCAAGCCTTCAGATGACTGTAGCCCAGCCAACATCTTGACTAAAACCTCACAAAAGACTCTAAGCCAAAAGCAGCTACTTAAGCTGCTCCTGAATTTCTGACCCACAGAAACTGTAGAATCATACATGTTTAGTTTTGTTTTAAGCCACAAAGTTTTGGGGAAATTGTTATGCAGCAATAGATAACTACACATACATTATGATACATTATGGAAGGAGAAAAGTTGCATTGATGGAGTAAGATGAGAAGGTGTTTGTCAGTCCCAGAATGTGACCTCTGGGCTCTGAGTTAATGCTAAGTTACTGTATGTGACAGGGGAAGAGGGAGCGCTCTTTAGAGTTAAGCACTGTGAGCAGATTCAAATATCTGCTTGAATAGGGTTCAAGGTGTGACTCAACTCCCTTCCTTCCAGGGTTCTGACTGTTGTGACAAACACAAAAGGACAGATTGCCAGATGCAAACAAGGCAGCATCATCGCTTAATTCCTAGGCAGACATCCTACAACGTGGGCCTTCTGGATGTGGAGACTACACGGGACTTCATACCGCATCTCCTCTGGATTTTAGACAGCTGAGGCCTGAATTGCAATAATCCAACTGAGAAAGGAAAGAGTTTTAGTGTAAGGTGGAGGTGAAAGAAGTGGAGAGAAGGACATAGATTTGAGGTATGTTTTGGAGATAGAAATGACAAGCCTTATAGATAAATACGATGTGCGAAGTGTTTCTTCCTCTCTCCCCAGTCAGGAATATTGGACTTTCCATTTCTATCTTTCTACATCCTCTTATTCCTCCCCAAGGGAGGAGGAGGGGATAAAGTAATTAGTCAGAGCTCACTAGTCTTTGGACATCCTTTTCCTTGTGGATGAGACATGGAGATACACTTCCTGTGCTCAGGCAGAGCTGGTCCTCTGGTGCTTATTGTTGCACTGCAGGGTGATAGTATGCCAATAGCCTCCTAACTACATCCCTTCTTACTCCCTTCCAGTCCATCGTTCACACTGGTCATGGTTACTTCTTTTGTTTAATTTCTCCAAATAGTTCACTTAATTTACCTGGAGAGATTTGGAAATCTATTTTTGGCCTACAACAGTGGAGATATTACTAAGAAGCATCTCCAGTCAAGTTTGTTCTTTGCTTTGGTGCAGGAATGGCATTGCCATTTTTATGATATAATACTGTATGTCTCTCACTGGACTTCATTGTTGGAAGCCACTCCTTTGTCAGGTGACTGTAAAAAACTGCATCAAAAAAAATAGAGCCACACAGAATCTCCAGTTGTTTTAAAAATAAGAAAAGAATAGGTTGGTAGAGATATTTTCCATTTTTGAAAGGGTTATTAAAAATGAAATAAAAAAAGTTCATTACAAGTTATGAAAAATGCATTGACCTTTGAAGTTCAAACAAGCTCAAAAAGAGCAGGATAATTAAAGAAGACAAGCAAAAAGTTTAAAAACATATATGAAGCTTTACTAATGAGCATGTTTAAAATAAATAATGTATCTTCATGAGTTATTGATGATCTTATAATTCATAAGTGCTGAGAAAAACATAACGAACGATTTGTAAAAAGTCATCAAAAGCAAGTAAGAACACAGCCAGCTCATTGCTTATCGTGTAACTGATTAAAGTTCTATCTAGAAAGTAGAAAGGTAAAAAAAAAAAAAAAGAAAAGGAGTGGGTAACAGAAAGGTATGGGTACTTGGTTGAATAATATCTCCCCAAAATTCATGTCCACTCAGAAGTTCAGAATGTGACCTTATATAGAAATAGGATTTCTGCAGATTTAATGATAAAGATGATAAGTAGATAAAGATGAGGTCATGCTGAATTAGGGTGGGCCCTAAATCCAATATGAGTAGTGTCCTGATAAGGAGAGGATGTAGAGAGACAGAGACACCCAGGGGAGAAAGGCAGGTGACAGACGGAGACTGAATGATGCAGCTGCAAGCCAAGGAATGCCAAGGATTGCGGGCCACCACCAGAAGCTAGAAGAGAGGATGGGACAGCTTCTTCCCTGGAACCTCAGAAGGATCATGGCCCTGCTGACACCTTGATTGCAG